TTCAATATTGTTCTTATACTAACCATTGTTTTAGACAACGGAATTGACGGATCAGCACTTTTAAGTAATGATTTCAACGAAAATGATCAAAAGGAGCTTATACCACGTATTCGGGACCGTATGACTTTGAGAAAAGCTTTGCGAGAGCTTAAGTAAGTTGAACGTATTTATTCTATTGATCGACAAACTGCGTCATTCAAGAGACTCAATGACACACCTTCACACAACGACAACGTCGATGGATGATCCTCCGGTAAGATTTAACTGATGACCATGGAGTTCATCGATTTTTGTTATAGACTTATGATGACATACTGCAAACCTGTGAAAATAATTTTACACTAGGTGAGTCTTGTTTTGTAAAAAAGCATTCTGCTAGTTTAGTGATTAACGTTCATACGAAAAACAAACATAACAGAGTTTTAAGAGATAGAGAAGTTTACAAACTTTGCTCAACTTCTTTATGCATTTTACAAGAATGATAAGCAAGTCGTTATAACTTTCATTTATCTTAAGATGTCCAGGAACAGAATCAAAAACAGAGAAATATCACTGGTGCTCATTTATCAACAAATGATGACGAACAAATGAATAGAAGTGGAATGTTATCAACTTCAAAGATCTCCAATCAATCGATGATGCCACACGAGTACAACATAACCAAAAAGGTAAATATCATACAAGTTTATAGAATGCATTTCACTTTCTGTGGAAGACTACGATTTCGGTTCAAAACTTTTCTTTCTCGGGGAGTGGGTGTTGGTATTAGTTCAAATTTACAAACAACCACACTCACATTATCATGTAGTGTTAACTATATACGTGATCTTTATTCTAAGATAGTTAAATCAGAAATGCAAAATTTTTTCTCTAACCACGTATCCATTTACTATTTGGTTTTCTTATAGATCCTCTCTTAAGGGCGAAATTTATTTTGTGGCATCAGTCAACAATTGCTGAAAGTTCAGCTTTGTTAACTGCTGAAATCTGACAAAAATAAATTTTAGTAATTGCCGAGTGGGCGCTACGGGCAGCAATAATGCGAAGTCCACGCTTCCAGCTACACAAAGAAGAGTTTAATAATTTTTCAAGGACTGTTTAGAGTTGATCCTTCTTGGAGATTATCCCTGCGAAGCCCTGAAACGGTTAGAGGGAATATTCCTACTCCACTTCAAAAGGTGCAGCGACTATTTAAAATAATCCTTGAACACTTATAGGAAGTACTGTCTAGAAAACCGTTTAAAAATTATAGGGATCATTCTTAAGCAGCGCTAGAAAAATTTTGATGTAGCGTATATGAAAAAGAGTTCAGAAATCAGCTCCAGCTCACCTCATGAAAGCTAGAGCTGCATGCCACCTCGTCGATCCAATTCGGAAGAGCTGTTTAATTGGCGCTGCTACATGTCTAGTTAGTGTACTTTTATATCAATAAACACATCTTACTATTTGATGGAACTTGTCGAGTTATAATTGAAACGTATAAACCAATATAAGACATAATCTAGCACCAATCCGCCTTAGAAAAGTAAAATCGAGGCCTAAGATGGCTTGGGTGCGAAGTTTAATCTGAACTGTTCGATAGCTAACTAAAACACATGTACAGCATGGTTTGTACTAGAATGAAATCGAATTGTGATATGTTGCATATTTAAAACATCTATAGATTAAAAGCTTTTTAGATCGAAATCCTTGAAAACTCATCAGAAGTAACCTCGACTGGTTGATTATGAATAGATGGGAATTTCTGTTCATCGATTCGTTGAGAGAACCACTAACTGTGCAAAGCGGAAACTTTTTTCCCTTTATTCATTGCAGTGAAGTGTATTTTATATAGTGTTCGTAGACATCGCAAGAATTTATCAGAGACAATCTTGTAGAAAGTCAAATGTCCAGACCAATATAGTATAGAGATTTTGATAGTTGTTTTTTTGAAAAGACAAGTAGTGTCTAGCAGTGCAGTGAATAGAATTGTGGCTTAAATATCAACCTCACCAAGAAGTGGAAACTATCTCATAATGATCTTATAAATTCCGAAATCTTATTAGGAAAAATCACTTCCTTATCTTAATACTCAAAACGATATCTTTTGAGGTCCCAACTGATATAACTGAGCAATTGATTGAAGATATAAACAATTACGACGATTCAATTCGAAACGGTCATCAAATGGTACGCTCAGTCAACAAAATGATGGAGTCGTTGATCGGTCAAATAAAGGCTAGTAATGCGAAAGAACATCGAACGATTCTGGATAGTGTGATAGAAATTGCTGTACGTTACCGAAAGTTGGAACAAGATACTATCTCAATTATTCAACAAACGAGCATCGTGGGTGAACAAGTTCGACTAACAGCCAAGTCTGCTCTTGCGGACGAAATGTGTGCAGCTGATGCGTTTGCAGAAATGGACGAGAATTTTCAAGGGTTATCTCAAAATCTGAACAAGGCGGTCAACAATCATTGCCAGATCTCAGAAGACTTGAAACAACAAGTTGCTGAAGCAACGATAATGAAAGAAAGAAATGACGATCTTGCTGCTCGTGCAAAGGAGCAAAGATCGGATGCTAAGTTTTATGACAGCAAGGGAGTACCTGGGGGTGCTATGTCAGTATCTGGTGGTGCTACGGTAGTACCTGAAGCTGCCATATTTGTCGGTTCTGTTGCAGGTGCATACGTTGCATCCGATCCAGTCGACAACGAGGTTCTTAAGGTTCCGGCTGGCACAGGAGGAGCAATTGGGAACGTCCTTACTGGTGTTGCTGCCACAGTTCTTGCTCAAATATTAGCTGGTTGGTCAGTGCGCTGTGCAACTTTTCAAAAAGAATGGTCCGTAACATTCGACGGTCTTAGTAAACAAATTCTCGTAGTGGAAGAAGCGATCTTCAAATGCATAATGTACGTCTCAGACGTTCGAGCGATATTAAATAAGCTCAGTGAAAATGCTTCAAGGTATGATCCATCGGCGTCAAACCAACATCTTCAGCAACAGTACAAAAAAATTAGTCGCAGTTGTAAAATTTTAAGAAAAAACTGTGATGATTATCGGCAAAGTCTACAAATAAGCATGGGAAAGATGCTCGTCAAGATTCAAGCTAATGAAAAGCCAAACAAAACATAATGATATTTTACTTATGAAATTTCTCGATTAAAGTAGTTAATAAACCAATACTTTGAACTTGAGATTTTTGCCCCATGACAGATGGAAATCGATTTAAATTTTTTTTTAAATTATTCTGTGTCTTCTGCAATATTTGGGTGTGGTTAGGGTGTGGCTAGGTATGTGTGTGTGTGGGTGAGTGCGGATATATGTGCCTGTCATCGCTCAACCCACACCGTGTGAGTATGGTTTTGAAAGAAGAGACGAAACCTACGCCCGTACTTTCCCTCTTGCACAAAATCCTTCACCTTACTCCTAGTTATAGTATAACAATAATAGTTTCGAGACAAAATCATGATATCCTATATTTTCACACAAAGAAAAAATCCCAAATCGTTGAAAGCGGTAACTTTCAACGTATATTTTGGTGGACATTTGCTCAAACCTGGATCATAACCATTACAAGAAGGACCAGATATTGTTCCGCCTATTTGCATTCCACATAATGTTCCTGGCAAATCTTTCTCTGCATTCATAACTGCACACATCGCGTTTACTGCCGAGTTGCTTTGAACCTTATAATTTTGATAGCCTAATGGACATGTAGCCGATAAAACATTTGTGGTGATATTGCAACCTACACTATGTTCAAAACGAAAAGGTGCACTGTGGTATGAATAAAGACCACAAAGTGTTCCATGAACAGGGCTACTGATTTCAGTCTGATTTTTAAAGCAAACAGTCAGATCAGTTTTCCAGCTATACGAAGACCATCCCTTTGGGCAACCCTTCCATGGGTCTAGACCACCACAATTAACTTTCATGAACGAACGAGAAAGTCCACATATAGTACCATGTAATATTTGTGGAGGTTCTATTAATATCGTTCCACAATCCGGACCAGTCCATCCTGGTTTGCATTTGCAAATGCCGAACTGGAAATATCCCGATGATTCACAAGTTCCACGAGTACCATTACCTCCACAATTGTTATAACAAAACATTGAATTACCGATATATTTTTCTAATGCTTTTTCGATCAATTTTGATTTGTTTGTGATCAAGAAATCATTTGGAAAGTAGTTTTTCTTAAGAAGACGAAAAATATCTCGAAGAGTAAATTGGATGACTACAGGATTCTTTGTAACTGATTTAGACCATTCGACCAGATTGGCTAAAACTGGATCACCACCTAACGAATTTGAGCGTATTGACTGTATTTCTTTGCTGAAGCTTTCATATTTAGATTCTTCTTTTGATTCCAGATAACTTGTGCTAGTTCCTACGGATACCTTTGGTGTAATGAATGCCAGGCTAGCTTCATGTTTGACATCTACACCTTGTTTTTCAAGTCGTTCTTTAGTTTCTCGATTGATAAGAATGGTTTGTTGTGCGATTCCACCTAATAAAATACTTGATGCATAGGTAAATCCAAAGTAATCGAAGATGAAATCTCTTGCGTATTCTTCTATATCTGGATCATCTTCCTCGCAACATGGGAAATTTTCAATAACATATTTAAAATTATCGGATAATTCCATTTTTGGTTCAAACATAGATAATTTCACATACGAAACTTGAGCTTTGGTAAACTAAAATGTTTCATAGAATTCAAAGAAATACAAATAAAATATTAACTTACAATCGACGTTTGATGATTTTTAACAATATTATCAAGCATGTAACGAGTTTCCTTTGAGAATTGATAGGAGAATCCCACGCCTTTAAATTGAGCTCCAATGGAAGTCTGAACTTTGCTTGAGATGGATTTGTGCAAATGTTCAATTGTATCTATTATCTCACTATCAACTGTCAATGAAGTCGCAGGTAAACAATCGAGATCAACATTCTCTGGAATTAATTTATCTGTGCATGACCCAAGTACTGGTGATGTATAGTTAAGTTTGAAAATTGAACGAGTAAATCCAGCCATTTGACACTCGCCTGTGTAACATATTGGTGCACCAGAAAGTAAGTCGAATCCAAAACCAATTTTGTTGCTGTTTTCCAACGCTGGTGTTGTTGAAAAAGCACGAGTACTAGCGTCAAATTGACGAAGGTAGAGCCGCACACGTTCAATTGTTTGACGACGCTCATCATGAAGAGGTGTCAAACTAACTAACAGAAATAACGAAAAAATAACGAAAAATCGTAGAAACATTGCAATATTGAATATGTCTATTCATTTCTCACCTTTTTATAGATATATCACACATTCAGATTATACAAATAGCTTATTTCGCCGAAAAAAAACTATTGATTAAAAGATTAGTTCTGTCTACGAGTGGCATACATATTTAACTGAAACACGATATTATAAGATTAATTCAGGACTCAATATGGTTACTAGGAGCTATTTTTGCACATATATAATCACATAATGACGCTGGCAAATTTCCCGGAAAGAGGATTAGCCATACCGCTTTGTATGCAGACAATTTAATTAATGTTACATAGATGAAAAGATAAAAAATTTGAAGGGTTTTCTGAATACTATGTAAAGAAAGTAATATTTTTAAGATTGTTATTCTAGAGCAATGGCATGACATTTGTAAAATAGTTCAGTGCAACACACACATGATCATGTCATATAATAAAAACAGTAGTGATATTGTTGAATATAATTTATTTGCTACTTATTATCCATTATTTCTGGTAATTAGTGGTACTCTATTCAATTCGTTGACATTCATTATTCTTTGTCGACGAAAATTTCGAGATACAAGTAAACAATTAACACTTCATTATATGCGTGCAATAGCTATTTTTGATATTCTTATGTTGTATGGTCGAAATTTCGATCATTTTCTTTATTATACATATGGATTTACACTACAAACTTATTCAATATCGTTCTGCAAGTTGTTTTCATTTTTAAATTATTTTACACCACAAGTTTCAGCATGGCTACGTGTTTTTATTTGTTTTGATCGATATTTATCATTGAGTCGTATTCATAAAACATGGTTTGCTCAATCCCGAAATGTTCTTATCATTATTATATGTATTGTGACAATTTTTACTCTCATAAATTTTCATTTTTTTCTATTTGCTTGTTATGATAACGATGATGGTACAGTAAATATGGAAGCTCGTCTATATGAAATATATCCATTATGGAATTCTATAAATTTAGTATTGTATAATTGTTTACCATTTATTTTTATGATTGCATTTTATGGCAATGTGATTCATCATTTAATACGTTTTCGTCATACTAATATAAGTCAAAATTTACGACGTCAATATCGTTCGATGTCAATTACACTTATTATAATAACCTTTCTCTTTTTAATAATGACTATGCCGGCTACAATTTGTTCTGGATTCTTTTATACAAGTACAAGTAAATTTATTCGTCATTTATTTGATTATATTCTCTAT